CACGCCCAAAGAAAACACCTTAAACATTCATAATACCCACTTTAGCCTCTGAGAAACCCCAAAAGGTACGTGTCAATGCAGAAGAGTCACTTCAAAGGCTTTCAACATTTTGTGGGACACTTTCCGTGCACCTGTGCTCTTACTTTCTGTAAATGCTACCAAGTCTCTGACAGTTTGAATTACAAGAGAACTAGCACACGCTCTGCTGTGCCCAAATGCACTGCTGAACAGGAAGTAGTAAGAAAACAATGTTTTAACAGCCATGAATGTGGCACTTTTATCTGCTTACCAGATAATTCTTTAAATAGAGACGCAACCACAACACTGTTAAATTGAAAGGTTCAGTAGTTGAGTGAGCTCAAATTCACTACTTCAATGCATCACTGACCACTTTTCAAGGTCATTATTTCACAGTCATTATTTCAAATCTTCCTCTTAGCCTATACACACACACTACTTAGATCTAAGCAATCATTTCAGCTGCACTGCAGAGAAAACTTTCTGGTAAATACATGCAATCACAGATTAAGTTGAGGCAGGCTCATACATTTTTTTATTTCCTTGGCAGACACGTGCATGACCTGCACTTGACTCCTAGTACTGTGGTTCTCCCAGTTCCCTCGGGCAGTTGTGCCATATTAGAGGAACAGTGTCCCTCTGGGATAAAATGCAGAAAGGATTTTAGGAGAGAAAACCATGTAGTTCAAATGCTTTTTACCTGCACTGTCATGGCAAAAGGAGGTGGGAGCAGATACATATGCATCAGAATCTGACTTCTAACAGAACCCCCAACAGGACAGCCTAGACTAGGTCTCCATCAGGTTTTAAAGAGCTCAGAACTCCTGTTGTGCCCAGAAGGATAGGTCAAGGTCCAGTTAAGACCCAATACAAACCATGCTATGATAATATAAGCTTCAAAAAGTGATGGAAGAGGCTTGGGGTTCAAATACAGAGACAGCATTCTGAGTCACGACGATTCTTTAGCTGCGATACCAGTTGTTCAGTAGAGCACAGATGTTGTTTCCCTCAAAGGAAGGATTATTTTCATTTCAAATTGTAACTGGGAACACTTCAAACTATAACTCAGAATCACAGAATATTGTGGAGCAAGTTTAACTCATTGTAACACAGAAGACAAGCTTCTGACATTCTCTTAGCCAAATACTTAAGCCAGAAATAAGGGATGAAAAAGTCTACTATGAAGACTAAGCTGGTTAAAGGAGACATTGCAAAACAGGAGTCAGATTAATCACCTTAGTAATGAGGATGGTTGAGGAGTCAGGTTTATTAGCTCAGCCTTAGTGCTGCAGCAAGGGATTTGGACTGTTCAGGGTGATTCTCCACAAGGCTTCAGGTCTTACACATGAGTTTGGGTTTTCTACACTAACTCCAACAGAGCCACATGAACAGAAGCCATGGCTCCAGCAGCCACAAAAAAACTTTTAAAAAAGAACAAGCTCATTATTTTAGAGGCACTATCTTGCTCACAAATTCTTCTTGCCTCTGGTCAAAGTTGATAGAGTTGTAAACTTGCTACCAAGCACAGAACTGAGCCCACTGGCTTCACTAGGGTGTCTCACACGAGGAATAATTGCAGGGTCAGGTCTTTGGCTGACCAGGTAAAAAATATTTGCCCACACTCTTTGTATAAGTGTGTCAAGAAGGAATTACAAAAATCCTAAATCCAGGTCAATGGATTACAGCCACTTTAATAGGAAATTCATTCTTCTTATGGCTATTGAAAGAAAATCACTAGAGATTCCATCTCTCTTAAGATACAGTGTCTATTTGAACAGAAAATAAATTCTACTGAAGTCAGTGGAAAAGCCACACTTTATTTCTGCAGGTTTTGGATGAAGTGGCATCTGTTCGGTTTTCTCTCTGCTAGACGTGCAGGGATTGCTCTGCTATCTCAAAGCATACAACACAGAAAAACCCCACCCAGAGCTGCACAAGTGTGCAGTGTTAGCTTTCAATGGAAACTTTTCAGTGCAGAATTAACAAGATAAGAAATTTTCTCTTTACAGTCCTTGATAACATGGTTTTGTAGCATTCAGAAAAAAAACCCTCCTGTGGTTTCCCCACAGGAAACCCATGATACTGCTTGTAATAGGAGCCATAATTTCAAGGGCATTTAATGAGATAACATTTTACTTAACAGTTTCTTAAGCAGTGAATAAAGACAGGACTTTTTCTACAAGCCACAAATGACACTGATTAGTTTTTTAATTTTATGATTAAGCACAATATTAGTTGTTAAAGTCAAAATAGCTCTCTGCAGCCTTGAAAGGCCTCGCTCTTTCTGGCGGCTATTTTACACCAACCTCTCTCCTGTGGCACTGCTGCTCATTTGTGTTCAGTGCACAAGGAGCAGCACCAGGTCTGCACCTGCAATCTAAGTAAAGAGCCACGTGCTAATCTTAAGAGTTCTACTTCTCCAATTTGTTTGTGAGGTTAGAACCAGCACAGACTCCACTTCAGCATAAGCTCTACTCACAACACGTCTGCTTTAGTTACTTTCTCCAGCAAATCCTGAAGTTTCATTATAAAAATATATTACCACTTCAAACAGAAATATAATTTACATCTTCCAGGAATACCTACACTTTTCAAGACCTTTATTACAAACAGTATCTTTTTCATTCTTTGCAAGGGGATTTCCACTACACCACTTAGCATTGAAAATGATGTGATTTTTCAAAGAAAGGTTGTAATTTGAGTAGTAGTAGAGAAAGCAGGCATTTGAAGCCTGATTCTGTTGTCAACAATGCAACTTATTTCACTTTCAGGAAGATAGAATAATCATTCATTCTGCACAACTTGCTGGCTACTTGCATACATTAGAAAAATGTGCTAATGTACTCTTTAACTCTATTTGAGCAGATTTACTCCTTCATGTACATCTGTGCACAGCAATATTTAATGGTCACCCATTTACCTTCTCCGAGATCTTAAACAGCCAGAGCTATTCCCAGCCAAGTCAGATGTCCACTTGAGACAGATTCTTATGTTGGGGATACCAGCAGCACATATTTACCAAAGACCACGTAAGCAGCTAAGCAGTCAGAGGTAATTTCCCAGAATATTCACCCAGCAGTTTATATCTTTGGGACTTGCAAAAGAGGAGGAAATGTCTTTGAACACAATAGATGGGTACGGAGTAACATTACCTTATGACTTGTCTTTCTAAATATAGAAAGGCATGATTTGTCCTTGCCTTTGTTATCCTGAATAACAGCACTTTAAGCAGAGTACTGGCTCGCTAAGTTTTTTAATGTAGCACTGATACAAAGGACAAGAAAAGAAAGTAAGAAGTCTTATATTCACAACGGACTTTACAGCCTGCAGCAAATATTTTCTTGCTATCTGACAGAGCTTTCAGTCTCTTTCAGGCTGCCCAAAATAGCACACCAAGCTCATGTTCAATCCAATAGACTTTGGTTCTGCAGCCAGTCAAAGCTGATATGGTACAGCAATGATTTCCTCCTGGAGAGCAGATTTATTAACACACCACCAGGACTACAAACCCAGAAATCCCCTGCTGCATTCTCAGTGTTCACCTTTCCATTATGCCCCTAATTATCTCCAAAGGAGTTTATTCCTTGTAAGCTTCTTGTTCAGGCTGATAAGCATTTTATTCTCAATCCTCTGCAGATTTAAAATTTACTCCTCGTGCTCTTAGTTGAGAAACTAAGCAACTGTCTTTGTATAAAGCATATCTCTCAATTCCTCCAGCTCCTCTCTCCGTTCAGTATCCGTTTATAAGAATTCCCACCATTTTCAGTATTTTTATATTAATTCCTCATCCTCAATTCACTTAATTATGATAAAGCTCTGAGTTGTTAAGGATCTGTATCACCCTTGGACTCAAATAGAAGGGTGTATATTAATCAAGACTAACCAGTTCCTTCATGCTAATCCAGTAAATTATTTCTTAAGCACTGATCTAAGGCAGTTAAAATAAAATAATTTTCCGAAGTAATAGCATCCCAAGTAAACATATATGGCACAGGACATTTTCTCACATGAGAGCCTTTCCTGAAGAACAGTTTTACATTGTCCCTTAGACTACACTGAGGACTATTTCAATGTACATATTCCAAAAAGACAAACACGGTCATGTGATTCACTTTTTTTTTCTTAAGAAACCCTTCCTACTTGTGCATTATGCATAATTGGAAATAAAACCATTTGCTCTGAAGAAAAACCAAAGAAACAAGCTAACTCTAAACCCTCAGAAGTTAGCAGAAAGTTTCTCTGGCAGTGCTCAGAGCGCAAGCTTCCTCTGAAAGAAGCTACTCCAGTTCTGAGAATAAAATGGCTCCTCTACCTAAACACAGACATTTCATTAAATCTTAAAGATAAATACACACAGTAAGCCACACGCTGACTTATCCTTTCTTTTCAGAACGGAACTGGACCGTGGGCCCAGATTATTAGAATTTAAAAAATGGAGGTACCATACTATGTTATTCAAACTTGACCTTCAAGAGCATGCAATGTTATAATTTCTTCATCGTGCCTCTGATTCCTATCTTAGCGAAACTGTAGGCTCTCGGCAGTGCATTTTCAGAGTTGGTTCAGAATCCTCACGAGATACTATTACTATTAGGTAAAACATTTCTGTAACTTAGTTTAAGAGGTATTTAAATTTCAGAGGTTTTAGTTTAAGAGGTATTTAGGAGGTACGTTGTGTTGAGTTCAACACAACATCAAAACGGGGAAGACTTAAAATATGGGTCTCATATGAATATTACAAAAGTAAGTTTGTATCACATAAATGGAACTAATAGTGCTGTTCATGTTCTTCTGTGGCAAGACAGGAGGGTAATAAATACAAGTGCACACATAAATATTTTAATTCTCTTTTAGAGACAAACACTGAAGGAGACTGTGAGTTTGCCAGTGAGCTTGCAAAAGCCCAAACCACATTTCCTGTTTGTAACAAAGCAGGTGAAAAAAAAGACTGGAGGCCTTTAAGGTTGACGGCAACTCTAGAGGCAGATCCATGCTGCCAGGTCCAAAACAAAAGAGCATCCAAGGTCTGTGAACACAACTTGATTTCCTGCTGGACAAAGGGGCGGGGAGTGTTCCCAGAACCAACAAAAACAGGTAGGCCCTATCTTTCAGTTTTAAAATGGTGAACAAAGGAGCAGTAAAACCTATGGCAGATTACAAAAAACCACTGTGGCAGATTACCAGTCTTCCAAGAGGGTTGATCAGGGTTTTAAATTAGAATTATTAATAACTTCTTAAACCATCATTAATTAAGGCTTGTTAATGAAGACTAGGCATTGGCATTAGTTTTTGCTGAAAGTACTTACTGTGCTGGGGGCCTTCTTATTTTACAATGCACCGTTTCCCTTCTGAGGTATGAAGCTGATATTTTACAAAGCAATTAGTTGTGCACTAATTAATTGCAGTTTAAGGAATCTTTTCCAGAGAATTAATCCTGTATTAAAAGCTCATACAGGTGGAAGCATCTTTAATGCTAATTTAACATTCATCAGTCTCTTAATGGGTTTCTTTTTCTAAGGGTCATTAGTACAAAATATTATTTATATCAACATTTAATTAGAAGGGAGGAGGAAAGACAATTTTATCTCATCTCTGACAAATTTGCAGACAAAACCAACAGGAAACAAACCATTTTGGGCTCCAGATCACCATCCTAAATCTGGTAGCAATTAATCTGCTTCTAAGGAATGATGAGTTGATACCATAGACGGCATGTCCAGCTGGATGGTATCTCTATTTCTCACCTCATATTGCTTTTCAGTATAAAAATCTGGTAGAAGTATGCTATCCTCATGTTATCCTCTGTGATGGGTTCTCTAAACAAAATACATTAGAACAAGAAAGAATGAAACTTAGTACTCCTGCTACCTATTCCTCTGTTGTTAAGAGGACAAACATGTAACATGAATCGTTAAATCTGGCCCCTTTCCTCAAAGGTAAGTACCTGATTATGTCCACTCCTTTGAGTTGCATTAAATTGAATTGCAGAAACTCATCCAAGAAAGATTTGAACGTTTTGGAGGCTTTTGTTTATTTGCTAAGGGTTTTTTGTTTCCTTCTCCCCCCTCGCATCCCTCCAGTTACAGTATAATGAACCCTGCAAAGAGAAAACCAAAGAATAGATAACCAACACTCTATTTATTCCCATGTCTTGTCTCTGTTGGTGGAGAAAATTGTCAACAGATTTAAAAGAGAGAAAAAGCCATATTAACTATGTATTCAGAAAGTCTTTTGCTCTTTCATATTTTGTGATGTCAATATGGTACCTTCAGTTTATAGCAATGTAAAATGTACTAAGTGGAGGTAAGTAACCCCATCCCTAAAGTCAGAAAAGTAAAAACTTCATTCAAATGAAGTAAATTGCCTACAGTAGATGTTCTATTTGGATGGGACTCCAAGTTTAACCTGCTTTCCAAATAGAAATGGAAGAACAACAGCATAGGAGTATATCATTAACACTAGAAAGATTCCGATATTAATTTTTCCAAATACTGTCATTTTATAATGATTAAATATAATACTTCCCCACTCACACATTCCAAATTCTTCTAACAATGGAACAAGAATTGTTGTTTCTCTTATAAAACTTTTGGCTATATGATCTTATTTCTTTCACAGAGCAGCACAATACTTTAAAAATAGCTTTAATATTATTTCTTGTACTGAAATCTTAGCTTTTATCATCACAGATTATCACAGAAAACCCTGATGGGGTTTGAGCTTATCCTGTTAAAGTCATAATGTACTATTCCTGAAGGAGTAATTTTTCTATATGACTTTTTTTCTGCAGATAACAAAATTTTTAAAAATATTCTAAGTGTTGGCTTGAGTGAGAAAGCCCCTGAACACAGTGTCATGAGTTCTTTGGAATAATTATATACTATGCAAAAAATAACAATCTGCTTCTGCTACATCTGAGAATAAATTACATGAAAGGGAATTAAAATTAGAGTATAGAACAGAAATACTATTTTCAGAATAGAATAAATAAAAGACACTATTTTCAGAATGGAATGTAATTAGTCTAATAGACTTCTCTTTCTGCTTATTTCTCACTCACCATCTACAGTCTCCTTATCTTACTGTCATCTTTAGCACAACTAGTTAACTGTGACAGGTTGTGTCTGCTGTTATACATATAGGGACAGCAGTGTAGTTGTCTGTGGAGGCAAATTGTCCTTCACAGTTATTCAGCTTTCCTTCTACTGCTGCTGCTGTCAAAGTAGTTGCTATTTAAATAATTCAGTTATAAATGTAAATAACTAGCATATTGGCAACAACTAGAAGAACAAGAACACCTGGGAAAGACCTGGCAGTTGTATATCTGTAAAGTGAAGATATAAACTAAAAATTTCTCATATTTTATATCTGGATAGTAAGATTAACTTGAAACTGATATTAGACAGCCATAAAATGCTCAGAACCACACCTTATGTCTCTGATCAAGGTCTTTACTATGTTTTTATAGGGTAAATTAACACTGCTGTTGTTTCCACAATATAAGTAGTCTTATCTGAGAACCAAATAGTTTGTATTGAAAAGAGAAAAAGTTAGAAAAAATAAGATATTGAATTCACACATATGTTTGTATACATTTTACTGCAACAGAAGCAGATGTCTAACTCAGAGGTGTGGAAAATAAATTTTAAAATAAACTAAGCTGTGTTCATCGGGGAAGAAATTTAAATGTTGTTTTCTTAGTCTCCCCACACCAATTTTTCTAAGTCATGCTTAAGAAAGAACTATAGATTGTGAGATTTAAAATGTTGATATATTTTATTAGAATGTTTTTAAAGTTCTAGAGAAGTGGGATTCCTCAAATACTGTAAAGTTAAACTTGGAAAATGAAAAGAGAAACAATTTTTTCCAACCTTTACTATTTTTCAGATAATAATTCCAATTTAAATCAGAAGCTCAAACAGGAATATAATAGTTGTCATCAAAAAATCAAAATACATCCAAATTGAAACTAAGAGTTCTCCTTCTACCCTGGAAACATCAGGGGAAAATAGGACTCCTGAATAAGAAAGATAAATTACAGCATTGCATATCAAGTCAAAGGAACAACCTTAGATTGGAACTGTACTTCACGTATCTGCTCACTCTTTTTATTCTAATGAATCACAGGCTTGTGGCTTCTATCACACTTACACGTGCTTCCCTTCTCACTGCTTCTGCTCCCTGGTAAAAGAGTTTGTAAGAACAGAAATACAAAATGAACACGATAAAAATGGAAAACAATTACATCAGAAAAGAAAAAGACAGGAGAAGAACGAAGGATGAATGATTACTTAGGCACAACACTGAGACTTGAAATTTTTTGCCTTTGACAGACTTGTAGTTTTGGACTAGCACCTTTGCACATCAGATACAAATGTTGAGTGACTAACTTTAGAATAACCAGGTTCCAAACAACGGTGATTCTTGACATATCTTCATAACATCTTCTCAGTGAAGGATTTCCCTTTCTTTAATTCCTTCTCTGAAAAACCGGAAAAATATATAGCTGCTTCATGGAGGTGGTGTCTCTCCTCATGAATATCTCATTGCAAAAAAGTGCCTCTCAACATGAAAAGTAGTATTGCAGTGATAGAGAGCCCTAAAGTGCCTTTGGGAGATCTTGAGTGGGAGAAAAGAAAGGAATGGAAACTGGATGTTTATTTTAAAAGGAAGGATAAATGGCCACTGGAAGTACCATGTGGAAAAACTAGTTACAAGTCCGTCAGAAAGTCACAGCTTATTTGCTCTGTTTTGCTCCTTTTAAAAGAGAATTCTGACACCTGCATCCTAGAAGCCCATGTGATTTGTGACTTTTTACTACCAAGGTTTATCTTGTTTCATCATCATAAAAACATCTGGGGCTTGGAAAACCTAAAACCTAAAATAGCTTTTGCAACAGCATAGTGAGGGAACCAAACCTGTAAGGAGAAGTTCTTAAGATGAGCTGGAGCTGGTCAGCCAAGGAACAAAGCTTTGTGTCCTCAGCAGGAGCAAATGCATTGCCACCCATCCCTGGCCAGCAACATGGAAATGTGTATTCCTGTACTCCTTTGCCTCAGCTTTCCTTCAAGAAGCAAACAAAATGTCAGCCTCCTGAGGGAATTCAGGTACGTCCAAAACAACGGAGTGATTTAAGGATCAGTATCATCCAATCCCTCCCTTTGACTGCTCTGCCACAGCTAGACTTCTTTATGCAGTATTAGAGGATGTCATTAGTTTTGGGTACCAGGTTTTATTTTCAAACACTCCAAATCTAGTAGGACGTGAAACATGCCTCAGGGGGAAAGTGAAGACTAACTGCAAGCTCCTTTCACTCATGTATTCAGCTCAGTGTTTCCTCTGTCAAGGAGGGTTTCATTAGCCATTTGCAGCAATGTTGATAATTTTGGCCATTAGACTGTCACAAATAAGCTATTTTCTTCAGCATGGTTTGTGATGGAAAATTTGTATGAGCTAGATTGATCGAAGAATTAATTACATGACAAAATAGATTATTTAAATGACAAAATAGGCATGGGGGTTCTTCCCTGTGCTTATAACAGGACTCCAAGGAGAGGCAAATTCAGTGCAAAAGGAAACTTTCTTCAATTAAATTGACTCACCATTCACCAGGTGATTTTCCAGGAGCTGTCTGGGCTTTTCTCTGCAGAAGTTCTGGGGGGTTCACTGATTCCCAGCTACTGTCCTTTATCACCACTTCTGCTTTCTCAAGCACAAAAATGAGTACAAGTAAGTGTTTCTAATAGCAAGAAAACAATCAACCTTTCATATTTTTCTTCAGGAATTGTTAAAACCTTTTGGTCTTAGCTGGTTTTCAGAGATATTTCCGATGAATTTGTTTTGACTGAATTCAGAACTACATTCATGAACTCTAGAATTTAGACAAAAATTTACTGCAAAAAGTAAGTTAAAGACAATTACAGAATTAATTTCAAAGCCATTCAGTAAAAAGACTTTTTTTTTTATTAATTTCTGATTTTTACTGTATCTTACAGGCAAACTAATAGCCCAACCTTTGGCAGAATTCCTATGAAACAATAGTTCCACTAACAGTTTACTGATCTTGCTTTCTTATTATTTAGCATCTGGTTTTGATATTAATTATGTAGCTTGTATAGCAACGGCTGTCACAGAGTAAACAAAAAAGCAGCTTCAATTACAGAAAGCAAAAATCAACCAAGCCCAAAGAATACGGTGAAACTATTAAACAACACAAATGACAAAATTATTTTCCTTCAGTTACAGAAATGGGCTGCCACTTTTCTGTCTGGGGAGTTTTGGCCTTCCTGAGTTTGGCTCTTATTGTTTCATTGACACTGAACATTTCACAGTATTTGAAAAAAAAGAGAGGTAAGAAACGTCATCTCTTTGTAAAGAATGGAGTTTTAATATTTAAATTGTCTGTAGAGAAAGCCATCACTGCTCAGAGATTTCAAGGCAACGAATTGATTCATTTGAAAAGTTATCCTTTAGCAAGAATGATTCTAGCAGAGAGCATGCAACTTTTAAGAATTTTTAGGAGAGTCAGGTAGAATTACAGAATGATTGTTAACTGCCCAATCCACTACTAGAAACAGCCACTCAAACCCATTTTCTGAAGACAAACCAATAGAATATATACAAGATAAAGAATTTAGTTCTGACTAAATCTTTATTTTTAAAGTATATTTTTTATATCTGTAATTTTCTTTTTTTTTTTTAAAAAAAGTGTACTTTTCATATAATTAGTTATTATTTATACCTCAATTTAAAAATTATTTGAAGTAGCTTCTCCCCAAATTCTTGAACGGTCATTAGAATTTCTGGTTTCATATACAGTTTATGCTTAAATCTGTGTATTTTGGAAAAAACATTCTAATTGCTTTTCATCATGAGATTCTAATGGAACTCTTAAACCAATGTGCCACTCACAATAAGAAACTAATTTGTTTATGTTAGAAGGTGACTACAGTCATACTCTGGTTTTGGTTGAAATTATCTATGACTTTTTTGACAGAATTAATTACGCCAGTGGAACCTCTCTTATGCATACAGTTTAATTGCCAGGAAGTTGTACAATCCTCACCATTCCCTTAGCAGAGGGGAAACTGCACCTGTGCTATACATGTATGGGTGGGCAGGCAAACATTGGTGTCTTCAACCACACTAAATATACATGTATAATCCACATAAACAGCAGGCCTGTGTTTATAAACTGAATTCAGGTGTAAGAGAACCAGGATATTAAAAGAGCTGCTGGAGCATTTTTGGATGGGTAGGGAGATGGGTGCGGGTTGGTCTCTTTAGGTTTATTTTGTATTTTAGGGCCACTAGGCAGATATTTCCAGATATTTCCATGAGCTAAAAATCACAGTCATTTACAAAACTAACCTTGACCAAGGTTTAGGAATGGCTGATGCTGCACTGCTCATGGAATCAGAACTTACCATGGTAAACTCTAGAGTCCTGGAGCAGAGGATGGAAAGTCAGGCATTTCTGAGTTATGCATCAAGCTCTAGCAATAAATGTCTTTGTAGCCATTGCCTCTCTGCTTCAGTTTCTTCATCTTTCAGAGATACAAGCTACAGAACTAGTAAAATAAAAACACCTTCACTTGTCATATAAGCACATGATGCACCTGCCTAGTCAGAGAAAGAGATGAGGTAGAAGTGGAAGGTGGAGGAAAAAAGGAATGGATTACACGTGTTACAATACATTTTTGGGATATTGTAACCTAATGTAGGCTTTGCAGCCATAGCACAGAGTGTTAACACAAACATTTCTTGTATTAGACAAAAGTATTTGAGAAAAGTAGAGGGATGACTGAAGAGCAAAAACTTTCAATTGTATTCTCGAAACTGAAATCAAAAGCATGTCCGTTGAGACAATTCTCTGAAGTGTTATAAAATAGTATGTTTCATTTTCACTTTTTTTTTTTTTAACAAATTTTCCAGATAAAATGCATAAAGACTATGAAGAGAACAATCCAAGGTAAGTTGGATAAAACAATCTTTTTTCTTCCAAGGGTGAAATAAGCAATAAATAATGACATATGGCTTTGGAGGGATGACATAGATGAAAATTCAGTATCTCTTGTAGTCTGCCTGGAAATGTTGGAGAGAATGGCTGTGGGAAAAAAGAATTTTTCCAAAGAAAACCAGAAAAAAATTCATGTGGGAGATACATCCTGCATTCATTTTATTAAGAGTGAAATAATTGCACACTAATTCTATTATCTGTTGAAGGGAGTGCAAGATACTGAACTAAACCAGCATTTTCTATATACTTAACCTCAGAATTCTATAATAATTTAAAAGAACTCTCAGAAAACAATGACAAATTATAGCCTGATAGTTAATGTGTCTGGAACAATAAATTATTTATGTAAATATTTTATAATATTTTATATTTTATATTATTAATTAGTATTTACATTTCAAAAACAACCTTTACAAACGATGCCCCAAAGCAATGAAACAGAAGTTGTGAAGTCTCTATTACTGCCTGTTTAGCTGAAAAATACCACTGAAGAACTGGCGTTAGATTGCGTGGCTTCATTTCCTTGATGAGACACAGTATAGGGATGCAATAGAAAGAAGTGCTTCCCACTAACAATTCCCACTCTACAAACACACTTAGAAACATTTTCAAGTAACACCAGGTGATAAAACACAGCATACCATTAAAAATCCAAAGGTGAACTGTGCTTTGCTCTTCTGTTTGTGTCGACACAAGAGTGTGGACCTTTTAGGAACATCATCCCAAAAGACACGTGCAGTGCTTTAGTTTGTCTTGCAGAGTGGTCTCAGAGGACATGAACCGGGTTCCTTTCGGTGATCGTTAATAATTCTACATCGAACAGGAGTTTGGTAGTGCTGAGATAAGCTTTATACTTAACTAAGCTACAGGAAAGAAGAGTTCAGTTATTGGTAGATAACAAATCTCTCTTCAGAATATTCACATCATTGCCATGTCTGCCCTCTCCACTATTTTTGGTCTTGTTTATTGTATCACATACAATCTGCTATGGATATATATATATACATTTATGTATATATATATACAATCTGGATACTGGTATGTGTGCATTAAATGTTTATTAGAGCAGAACAGTGGGGTCCTAAATAAAGCATATTCTGTGAATTAAAAGTATTTTTCCATTCCCCTTGTAGCTACGATGACTATCCCACAGAAGATGACCCAGTTTATGGCAACCTCAATCAAGATACTTTAGGTAAGATTTGTTTTAGGAACAGGTGTCTATTCAGTGACTAATAAATATATGATTAAAAACTGACTGATCAACATGTTTGGATTTGTCAAATGCCAGGCTTGAGAATCTACATCTTTTCAAGCATTAATATAATTAAAAGTATTACCACCTACTTGGGATAGAAATGCAAGCCATCATAATACACTATTATTTCTAAGACAAGATCTCATACTGAATTTAATTTTTTATGGTCCAAATGGTCCTATCTCAAAACAAAGAGCTTGTGTATATGTAAAGCTGCACCAATTGAAATAACAGCTTGATCCATGCATGTTAAAGCAATATAAACCACATATTACTCATGGTTCAGGGTCAGTGCTCCCACAGAAGCAGGCAGAAAGAAGCACACACTAGTTCTCTGCTGTAGCTATCCAAAGATCATCAGCAACACTGACAAATATGCTGAAGACCAGCACCTGAGTGGTAGGCAGGGAGCTCTGCTTTGCTTTACTGGGCTGAAGTTGATAATCCTTGGCAGAGATACCACAATAAAGGCAGTAATATCACATAACTGCAGCTAGAGCTAGATACGCTGAGACTACATCTCTTGAAGAGCTTATGGTGTTAAAGCAATATTGAAGTAATATGAATATAAGTTTTTTGCAAGCCTTATTTGGGGTTAAGCAAAACTAAAGTTCCCTGAGCTGCAGGGAAAAAAAGTTAAAAAACTAAACCCAAAGTGTTCATGGATGGTTTGCATAAATTTATCTAAGTCAACACTCAAATGGATTGACGTTGTAAAAGTCTGAAAAATTTAGGAAGGAATCTGCTTTACTGACGGCTAAAATGAGATAGGAAATAAGAATATAATTTGCACCAAATTTACTGAACACTGGAAGTAAATTTAGGAATAGAATTTAATCACCAGCTGCTTTCTCAGCCAAAGGCTGCCTATACTGAAAAATACATCAATATGTGGTTACCCTTAAATTGCAAGAAGTCCTCCTAGCACTCTAAAATTATGCCCACTTAGTGAATAATGAGAAAACTCCCACCCATGAACAGAAAATGTTTTTCATTTCCACAGTTATGTGTGTCTGAATTTCTTAGCTATTTGCCTCTCTATACACAGAGGGAGTGATCTGTGTGTGATTTCAAAACAAAACAAACTTCTACCAAAGAAAACTGGGGGAGGTGAGTTCTGTAATACAGAGGATCTGTTGATCTGATCTTTTAAGACTCAGTAATATAACTTAATAACTAAAACGTTTTTCTACTTTGATAAGTTACAGAAGAATGTTGTTATGAGCAGATGAAGTCCCAACCTCAAAGGCCAGTTAACCAGCTACAGGTATCTTTAATTTTGATGTTGGATTTCTGAATTAGATGTGGTCTGTCTCAGAGTTCCTGTGTTTATCCTATTACAAAAATCTTAACACTATCACAAAAATTACCATGCATTATTATCTCATTTCACCAAGGTATTTCAGCACAGACTTGACTGTTCAATCTGAGTTATTAATGAGGAAGCAAGAAAATTATAGGCAGCTCAAGTGCACACCTATGGCATGATAAAGCTCTGCCACAGGCATGCAGATCAGACTGAATTAAATCTACTGCCGTGGCTTAGGTAAATAATTAATTTGATCTATTTGTGATATCAAAGAGGAAACGCAAGCTGTATCACATGATACTCATGAATTTGAGTGGCTCTCTCCTGTCCAGCACAAAATCTATGTGCCTTAACAAGTGAAAATGGAAAACAACTGTTTTCTATTGATTTGTATTTTGTTGAGATACCTAAGAGCATGCAAACTTCAACTGAAATTTGCCTGTAATTGAAGCATTCCCAGCATCAATTTCCTAAGTTCCATGTATTTCACTAGGATCAATTTCCAGCCTCTCTCTCAGGATATTTCCAGCGGGTAAAACTATCTTTTATAATCTAGACATTTGTTTTTATTAACTTCATGAAAACAGAATAATCTATGAAAATTCCAATGTCTATAGTCATTGACAGTTTGGTTTGAAAAATGGAGAAGCAGGGGAAAGATACAAAAGGCATACATTTTGCACTGGAAATGAGATCAGATATATGGATGAGAATCATCCACCTTTGGTATTCTGCAGAGATAAAGCATGTGAATAATATCGCTAACAACTGGATTCTAACTAAACAAAAGTGAGAAGAAACACAGATCAAATCATATCTTGCATCCCAAAGAATTTGGACTGATTTCATAACCTACCTTTCTTCCCAAAAAGAATCTTTCCAATGATACCTTGGAGAATTTTTCCTTATTGCCACTGTGGGCCATTTACCATAGGTAAATGTTTCTAGGCAAATGTTTGTACTTTTAATGGCTTGTTTTACAGCTTAATGGCTGTTTTAATGGCTTTGTTTTTACAGTTTTACAGTTTGGGCATCCTTCAGCCACTACTATTATGATTACAGTGTAGACATACTCACATATAATTTTAAAACAAGGGTAACTACTGAATGTTAAAAGTGAATTTCCCTTCAGGTGGAGTCTGCCAGTCAGATGTGTTATGCCTCGCTTGATCACAGTGTCAAGGGAAAACGCAGAAAACCAAGGAGAAAGAAAGATCCTTCTTTAGAGGAAGAGGAAAAAAGATCATCTAACCCTGCCATGAGGGCTTCTGAAGTGAGCATTTACCTCAACAGTGAGCAGCTGGCTGCTGAAAACACAGCAAAAGTAGAAGCCATTCATGATGATCCCATCAGATTAATGGGCTTGATTCATTCAGCAAAAGGAGAGAACATCTGAAGTGGCTTCCTGAAACAACAATGTAATCATAAAGTGAGATCTCCTTTTTCATTCTGGAGCAACAGTGAAGGACTAGAGATAATATCCTGTCAAACTGTCACACCAAACAATGATTTAAAATGGGTAAGTGTTCCAAAGTGTCTTCCAGGCATATTTAAGGACTGAGCAAGAAATAAATATATGTCCAGACTGCCACTTTGAAGGATCTGCCTTCTGAGGACAATTTGAAAGAGAGAGAGAATTTTGGAATCTGGTATTTCAGCATTCACGGGGCATTGATCCCAGTAAAAATTAATCCTGTGTTTTAAACAACCATCAGCTTTCAAACAGTCCCAAAGGACCCACTGATTGTCTGTAGAGTTCTAGCAGAGGACAACTCTTCTGTATAGGTTTTATCAATATTTTCAAAAGAAATTTTTTTCATACTTGCACACTTGATGATTTAGTTGTTTTACCAGTTAAAAACTGACCTGCTGTTCCACACTGTGTACTTTCCTGCTGTGACTGGTTTATGGTAATAATGCAATCTAACTAAAGATAACTGGAGAATAATTAAACAGCTTGTTTAAAGAAGAAATTGTACATCTCACAAGATTTAACAGTATCTTTATATATCTTCAGTTTCCTTTAGCAATACCATAGCTAGTCTCAAATATCAACTCCTCTACTAAATGCAATATTGTATCCAACCTTTTTCAAGAGTTCACAAACATATTAACAAATTACCTGTAACAATAAATCTCCTGTTAAGGATTTCTTCCTTCTAATATTGTACGTTATGTTTACATTCCTATTGGGTTTTACATTGCCATCCTTGCTATTTTACAAAAGCAGAAAGAGCTTTTCATTTCCCCAAACAATTCACTTACTGTGTGCACATTCATCTTAAGACTTTAAACTCATTAAATGGTAAATTTTATGGATTGGGGATCTCTTTTTATATTCTAGGAGTCATTAAGTAGCAGAAAACAGCAAGGCATGTTGTTGATGTAATATGCCTACCTCCAGCTGTCAGACAGTTCTTCCTTTTCAAAAACAGAGGACACTAGTGCCTTTAAATCCACACAGAGCACAGTGTCAAGGAGCTTTCAACTCTCAAGCACACACAGAACTCTGCAAGTGTTTCAGGTCCTGAAAACAAACAAAAGGCCTAAAGTACAGAGAGTCCACACCTAAAAGCAGAAGTGGATGGACACATCCAGCCATGAGGCAAATTTATGAAGAAGAAAATCAGTATAAAGGAAGAAAATCAATATAAAAGATATAGTTCTCTGACAGCCTGGTTAACATTTAGTTTTCTACATAGTTAATGATCTTATACAACAAGCTGTAATTTCTATGCAAGACCAAAAGGAAGGGGCCAAGCCCTGCAGCAAAAGCTGCCCCAGTGTCACTGCCTACCTTATGCAAGCACTTGTTTTTGTGTGCAGAAATCAACTTAGTATGCTTGGCTGTTACATTCCAGAAACAAGGCAGACTTGGAATGAAAGTAACTGTGTTATCACAGTCTTAGCCCAGCTATCACTGGATAGGCAGAGACAAATACTGCTGAAGAATCTAAAAAAACACTTTAATGAAGAACCATATTAAACGATGGCCCTAAGGTCCTACAGGGGTAAAGAAGGAAGACCAATCCAAAGCCAGATATCTAAAGCTAAACATCAGTGCATGAAGCAGTCACTTATTTGATTAGACTGGAAGGAGTTATATTTTGTTCCATAGTAGGAACTAAATAAGTAATAAATCTCAAAATATCCTTGCTTAGACTCACATCAAAATAGTTTGAATAACAATAATATGCAAAATATTCACAGAAAGTGTTTTAATGCATCAGTAAGATACAACTTTTGATTATGCCCTTCTTCTAAATTCACAAGTTAAAGAACTTACACAAGTTAACTAAATTCAACCTGCCATTTCAATCTGATCACCACTTTAACAGAAACAAAGTACACACTTGTCTCATTGAGTGTAATTGTAGCAGTAAGTTCACCTCATGGGATTTAGGTAAATCTAGTTTCCTCTGTCTCAGTCTTCATTGTTTAGTCCAGCTGTGTTTATGGCAATTTTCATCAGCTGCTTTCCCTTGCAGTGTACCTTGTTAACAGAGCAGGACATTCTTGTAAATATTCTCCAACAAATCCTTCCTCTCCACATTTAATCACTGCTTCCATTAAATGACTGACTGTTGTGTGAAGACACTCTACTTCAGGATCATCTTTAGTGGCTTATCAACTGCTTCCAAGGCACTTTTAATGTTGCCACATTCAGATTTAGCTTTATTTCTCCAGCTCTTTAACCTGCATCTGCTTAAGTAAGCAACTGAATGACCTAATTTTTTTAAGTGACTTTTGGGATACTTTTTAAAATGACTACTGAATTCTTAAATGAAAGATTGCTCCATCTTCAATCCATTAGAGAAAGACCTACATAAACTATCAGATACTATTTAAATTCTTAATGTATAAAGCAAGTTTCAACTAATTACAACAAAATAAGAAAAGGAGTTGCTAGGTCTAGGTTTATACCCTGCATATGTTATATAAACAAGCTTACCTTCTTACCTGGGTGAGCCTTCATTAAAGTTGCTGGGTAGAATTCATATCTAGAGTAAGATCATGTCCAAAACCCAATTCCAGTTAACCTCTAAGTTACTTTAGAACATTAATACATTATGCAATCTCTCAGTGCTGGTGTATCAAGAAATACTGGGAAAGAATTGCCTCAACTAATCCAAGGAGAAGGTAGGGCATAAAGTGTATTTCCTACAGCGCATTCACGTCTGAACAGGAAGAAAAATGAGCCCCAAAAGCATTTCTAAAAGAAAATATTTTGTTGTTGTTGTTGAAGAAAACATAACATCGAAATTATGAGGGAATGTAGAATGTGTATGCACAGTGCAGAAGTTCTTTCTGCAGAGAAAACCTCAATGAAGCTAGTTTCTTGTCCCATTCAAGAATAGTATTTAAGATAACAGGATTTTGATTTTAAGAGCTAAGATAACACAAAACACTACTGTGTGCCCAAAAATAAAGCCAAAGAAGACCCACTTTTCCCTTTTCTGGAGCTCAGAAAGCTGACAAGGGGCAATGCTGGTAAAAGAGAGTACTTGACCTGACACCACTAGCACAATCCCCGTGCCTAGAAAGGCCACAGCAATGAAAACCAGTGGGACCTCAACACATCATTCTCAGGTATTTGCTGTAGATATACAAACTGCTCCTCAGAATTCCCATATCTGAAACAAAAATGTTGAAAGCAGGTATTTGTTCAGAATAATTTTTTATTTAGAATATAAATTGTGTCAGAATACAGAACATAACTTTATCAAATCCAGTAAAATATATAAAATTTCATTGAAGAATTTTAACATTATTATGGCAAAACAGTCGAAAATAGTAGCATATAACACTGAATTTGAGCATACACTGATACATACAGAAAGCATGAAGAGGCAGGATTTTAGGTGAAAGAGCTTGTTCCTTAAGAATCATTAAGAATCAAAGCTTATTAGCAGATAAAAGATAATACAGATAACATTCTGTTATTATAAGCACTTAAATGCACAATTCCAACTTAGCCATAAATTGAGTAAGAAATGCCCTGTCAAAAGGGACAAACCCGTTCCTGAAGAATTATAGTGCAAGGAAGTATAGATCAAAATTAGTTATATATTACAAACACCCTTGATTCTTGGAGGAAGAAAGAAAGCCAGATAAAGCGCAACATTTATAAAACTATGTTTTATCTTCAGCAGTCTATGAATGCTCCTTGCTGAGTTTTGCCCTGGAAGTCAAAGGGATTGCTGGGATTTTGGTCTTTCCCATCAGTGTAGCTTAGTTTTCTGTATACCCTATGGAAAAAAACCCAACAATAACCTGTTTAGATGATAGAGTAAATTACACAAAAATACTATGTTTTGCTGAAATTCCAGTGAACAGAATGAAATTGAAACAAATTGCCAAAGCAAAATAGCTGAACGTCTGAACTGTGAACAGCAGCAGGACTCCTTGTCTGAAATCCTATGTGCTTTCAGAGAGAAAGCTTTTCATGCTATGCCATTTTAAAGTCTCAGTAGTGCTACTACATCAACCTAAGTTATATATACACTTATTAAGCTTCAAGATGCAATCTTTGAATGTATTCACCAATAGCTAAAAATTAAAAACACAAGTGAGAAGACAATTATTTCCTTGCATATTACTTAAAAATTGTATAAATCTTATCTGTCATCTATTTTAAACTAATTTTGTTTACAACTGACAATTAAGCATAGCAGTGCAGCTGAAGGACAGCATTCACACAGAGCTGAAGAAAAGTTCATTAATTATGAACATTTCTTTATCAGAAATATCTATTTCATTGTCATCTAGATAAAGGCAATCTAGTTCCAGACAGAACAACAATATTCCCTTTCTTTTCAGAACCACTTATTACGACATACAACATTTTGCCACATGGCTTTGGCATAAAACTCCTGAGGGATCTGAAGCCATTAAAGAAGAGCTTCAATGCTGGGAAACACAGAAAGCTAAAAATATCACACCACAAGCTAAGGAAACTTGCCAGCTGACAGTCCGTGTTGGCTACAAATCAGTAAACATGTATTTGCGTAATTAAGGAACAAAGAAATAGATTTTATTCCAGATGGCTTGGCAAGAAAACACTCTGTGGAATCCTGGTTTCTCTACTTACATGCATTAAGGAAAGAAAAACCATTTCCTTTAGAACAATAATTAATCTTACAGGGATGGCTGTTGTGTATGGAAGCTGGAAAAAGTTGTGAGGAAAACCAAAAAGAAACCCAAGAACTGAGCAGAACTTTATTCAGCTAAGTGGACATACTCAACATCACAGAAACATTGTTGTATACTCATCAGCTTGTCTCCCATCTTCCATTATATCAAAAATAACCCAAATACAACCTTTATCAATATGGTACGCATTTTTAATACAAGCCTCTAAGTTTTAATTCTATCTTGACATAAACTGAAACTTTTTTCTTTAAATCACGAAGCCTCTGTTCTGGTTAAGTTCTCCATACAAGTAGTTTAAAAACACTTTGAGCTTCCTTTGAAGTTTTAATTTGAACATTGTGAGTAAATTTTGATATCAGATGTATGATCTTCTCAAGCAAGTTAAAGTATTTCCTGATGGAGGAAATACTTTTGAGAAGCCAGCATATCTTATGGTGACAAATTAGATTTTTCTGGCAAAAAAGCACATAGAAAATGTTTTGGAAAATAAAATGAGAAGCCATTTAGAGAGCTTTTAATGCTTTTTAAAATCTTGTTGATTATTAAGTGTTTGTAATTAAAAATCCAAGAGATCTGAAACTTGATAATCCTTTAAAAGCTATATATTTTGTAAGAAAACCAGATGTAGTAAGCTAGTATTTCGTGAAA